TACCAACACATTAATTTGTCAATATTAAGCATTTATTTGCATACCAGAAGAGGCTGCTGTTATCTAAGGCAATATTCTGTGTAAAGCTCTCTTAGAACAATATGTATTTTGAAAAGTGCTACACAATAGAATTAAACCGAATGAAAATTAAATTAAACAAAACTGTAATCTCTAGACAGCGAGAATAAGCAGAAGAGCGCTAGTGAAGTTTGCACTGTGCAGATTTTACCTACATGTTCTTCCTAGACTGGCCACAAGGGGGCAGTCAAAGACGAGCAATTTCTGTACAAAATGCGGCGCAGACTTCAGATTCATTCAGTCACATACTCATAACAAAATTGTAGTAAGTCTATATTTTGATACATCTCAGCAAAATTACATTCTTAATTTAATACGTTTGTAAAGAGACCATGTAAAGAGGAGTTTCAATTTAACTAAGAGCCTTATATCAGTTTTAAAAAGAGTTTCTGTAGTATTTTAAATACAATAATACAAGAACACAACAGTTTCACACTATCCATCATAAATTCTATGTGATATTAGTAATTTTCAATACTATTTAGGGCAGATAGGGTGGATAGTGTGCACATTGGGACGCAGAGAGAAGTATGATTGGTAGGAAGAACCGCGAAGAACAGAAATACGTTATTAGATTCTGAGCACATTATTCATGAGAAGGAACGCCCTCCGAATGATTTCATCCAATCGCTGCCACAGACGACGGGATTAACGTTGAGAGCGTTTTGGCGGTAAATTGAAAATCCTTTTTGGACCGATCATACACGGACCGAGTAAGTTTATAATGTTTATTCGTTTTTTTTCTGGACATATGTCACCTACCAGCTACCTCAAGCAAGAGCTATAGTTTAACTAAACATATTCGATAACCGCTAATCAAATTAGGCCTGTTTATGCACATTAGTCCTGTAATTGCAAGCATTTAGTCACTTTGACAGTAGTTTCTGTGATAACCTTGATGTGAAATTATTAAATAATTTCAACCAACAGATATTCAGTGGAGTATAAAAGTCTGAGTCTATTACATAAATGATTTATCACCATAAAAGTAAATGTCAAAATAGCTTTAACATAACAGTTAATGTTAAAGCTGATTTCTCTGATATTATTGCTTATAGCAAATCTCCCCATCTTGTGTTGTGCATCTAACATTCAAACTGGTCACGGCAGAGGAGTTATAAAAATTACTAACACAGCACATTATTCACAATCTGCTATATGGCTGGTGATCTTGTTCTCTCACATTACCCTTCTTCTCATGGGAATTGCACAAGTCCCATTGGTAAGCAACAGCCATCTATTTCCCATTACTCTCCGTCAAATAACACATTCAATTAATGCTCATATCTCTCTCTTCTCCATCTGTTTGGCAACATGACGACCATATGTGCCAAAATTGCTGTCAAACTCGTACAGAATACAGCTGCTAACTTAGCTGATCTAACAAAGTCTCCCTAATCAAAACAGTACAGTGGTAGAGGGTCAAAAATATTACTTCCATACCTCTCTGTTTTAGTTTTGTAGACAATCCTAGAGCATATAGGCGATGTATTCTCTGTACTAAGTGGGAGAAGGAACAAATTCCTATATAGGCTTCCATATATTTTGTCTTATTTGTGTTATCTTTTTTGTCTGTTTGTGTAAATACATTTTGTAATTTAAAGATACAGGAATGTATTTGAATATAATACAATCCCAGTGTTTATTCATCTTTATGTTAATTTGCAATGTAATTTACAATTTTTCAGTAGTTCAGAAGATGCAGTGAATTAATTTGGTTTATACATTAAGTCTGTGTGTTTATTTATGTTGAAATAGGGAGAAATAGTGAAACGGGTTTGAGTTTAATTAAGTTGGCTTGAAAAAGAATAATGATAGCAACATGCTAGAAAACTTGCTAATCATGCTAACAAAATGCTATTAACTTGTTAATCATGTTAACAACATGCTAGTAAGTTACTAATCATGCTAACAACATGCTAGTAACTTGTTAATCATGCTATAAAAATCATGCTAGAAACATGCTAATTATGCTAGAAATATGCTAGAAAAATGCTAATCATGCTAGAATAATGCTAGCAACATGCTAGTTAACTTGTTAATCATGCTAGAAACATGCTAGCATCGTGCTAGTAACATGCTAATCATGCTAGAAACATGCTAACAAAATGCTAACACCTTGTTAACAACTTGTTAAACATTCTATAAACATGCTAGCCTCATGCTAGTAACATGCTAATCATGCTAGAATAATGCTAGTAAAATGCTGATCATGCTAGAATCATGCTAGAATTTTGTTAAACATGCTAGCATCATTCTAGTAACATGTTAATCATGCTAGAATCATGTTAATAACATGCTAATCATGCTAGCAAAATGCTATTAACTTGTTAATCATGTTAACAACATGCTAGTAAGTTGCTAATCATGCTAACATGCTAGTAACTTGTTAATCATGCTATAAACATGCTAACAACTAGTTAAACATGCTAGAAACATGCTAGCATCGTGCTAGTAACATGCTAATCATGCTAGAATCATGCTAGTAACATGTTAATCATGCTAGAGTCATGCTAGCAACATGCAAGTTGCTAATCATGCTAACAAAATGTTAACACCATGCTAGTAACTAGGGATGGGCGATATGGGCTTAAAAATATATCACGATAATTTCTGAAATTTTTCGCTATAACGATATCAATGACGATAATTTAGGGAATTCTGTTTCTTTAGAGCAGTGGTCACCAACCTTTTTAGGAAGAAGTATCCAGTGATCGCTGTAGCTGAATAAAACGCAGATAAAGAAATTTTAACTAAGGAAACCTGAAGACAATAAACATGCGAGTGCACAAAATATATGGTATCTGTGTTCTTCAAGCAATCTTGGGTATTTTTTATAAG